GAGAAAATAGCCCTAATCATATATAAAAACATTTCCAACTTCCCTTAAAGAATCCCTCCACCCGTTATACCACAAAACTTTTATTATTACTTCAACCTTAACCAGATATCTAGTTAAATCATTTCAATTAAACAATCAAAGTCAGAAATCTAAGTCCCCTTTTTTCCCTTTTCTCTTCTTCTATAGGCAGCACGGGTCAGGGCTTTGTTTTTTCTTGAAGACGTTTCGCTTCGCATCCAAGAGGCTTCTTCGGTTCAGCAAAATGTCTTCAAGGAAAAACAACATCCAGCTGCTTTTTGAAAAAGCACCTTTGGGACAACCATAACCTAGTTGACTGAGAATCTCCATAGTCCCCTAGAGTGTGTCTCAGGGGTCTTAACATGAGGTGATAGGGCATGAGCCATTGAGGTCAGACCTACCAGTCAAAGTGGGTGATAGCCCCTCTGGTTACAGCTTCCATTTCTTGGAGACTCGTCCCCAAAAAATCCACTAACGGTGGGTCTGCTGCTCTAAGGGGAATGTGCTTCCATCCAGAATCAAAGGGACAACCAGAAAGAATCAATCAATTTGATCCCCAGAAATGATACTTCCACCTTATAGTGGCTTAACTTCTTTTGACCCATCTAGACTGTAGTAGCCTCCAGGTTCCAAGTCAGGTCTTCAACAGGTTTTCCAGTCTGGTTTAGAGTAGCTATCTACAACCAGCATCATCAATGTTCCGATGATATCTCCCTCCAAGCTGGTGGATTATCTCCAGCAGCCACTTCAGGTAGACCTTAAATAGGAGAGAATTCGGTTCTGTGTGGAACTCCTATTTTGGAGCAACTATAGTCACGATCCCTCCTTCCCACTCACACCAATATTCCAAGATGGGCAAACATTATTTATTTATTTATTTTTATTTATATCATTAATTTGTGGCAGCAGGCCAAAAATCCTTGTCTCGGTGGTAACAAAAAATTCAGTTAATTATACCGGGCAAATTTGCTGTGACTATCTGAACGATTTACAGGCAGTCCTCGACTTAACGGCCATCGAGCCCAAAATTTCGGCCGCTAAGCGAGACAGTTGTTAAGTGAGCTTTGCCACAGTCATTCAGTGAATCCCTGAAGTTGTTGAATTAGTTATGTGGTTGTTCAGTGAATCTGGCTTCCCCGTGGACTTTGCTTGTCAGAAAGTCACAAAAGGGGGATCATGTGATCCCTCCTGGGGTGCTGTGACTGTCATAAATATGAGCCAGTTGCCAAGCGTTCAGATTCTGATCATGTGATCAGGGAGATGCTGCAATGGCTGTACGTGTGAAAAATGATCATAAGTCACTTTTTTCATTCGAACAGTCGCTAAACGAACTGCTGTAAGTCTAGGACAGAGGTAGGCCACCTTGGCTCTTTTATGACTTGTGGACCTCAACTCCCAGAATTCCTGAGCCAGCCATGCTGAGGAGAAAGGGAGAGTTTCCAAGCTGAGCCATGCTGGCTCAGGAATTCTGGGAGTTGAAGTCCCCAAGTCATGAAGGGGCCATGGTTCCCCCATGCTGGCTCAGGAATTCTGGGAGTTGAAGTCCACGAGTTATGAGGGGGCCATAGTTCCCCCATGCTGGCTCAGGAATTCTGGGAGTTGAAGTCCACGAGTTATGAGGGGGCCATAGTTCCCCCATGCTGGCTCAGGAATTCTGGGAGTTGAAGTCCACGAGTCATAAAGCGGCCTAGGGCAGGGGTAGGCAACCTTGGCTCTTTTATGACGCGTGGACTTGAACTCCCAGAATTCCTGAGCCAGCCTGGCTCAGCTTGGAAACCTCTCCCTTTCCCCTCAGCATGGCTGGCTCAGGAATTCTGGGAGTTGAAGTCCACCAGTCATAAAAGAGCCAAGGTGGCCTACCCCTGGTCTAGGACTATCTGTACTGGCCACAAAGGAATTATACTGTTGTTATGTGACTTCCGAAACAGCATTCTAAAACCTGTATTTCAGGCGTTACGCTTGGGAGGTCAGCTCCACGCTGCGGTTTCATTTGCCCTCCAACTAAGGAAGGGAACAACACTTGCTAATGGCCACTGTCTTTCCTACTGCAGACGTCGACGAGTGTGAGACTCCGGGAATTTGTATGAACGGCTGGTGTATCAACACCGAGGGCTCGTTTCGGTGCGAGTGCCTGGGAGGGCTGGCCATCGGCGTGGACGGGCGAGTCTGTGTGGATACCCACGTCCGCAGCACCTGCTACGGTGGCATCAAGAAGGGCACTTGCGCCCGTCCCTTCCCTGGAGCCGTCACCAAATCTGAGTGTTGCTGTGCCAATCCAGACCACGGATTCGGAGAGCCGTGCCAGCCTTGCCCCGCCAAAAACTCCGGTGAGTCCACTTCAGAGAAAGGATCATTGGGGACGCCAGGTTTTTTTTCCCCTGAACACGTCCGAGCTAAAGGCTCCTGCCTCCTCTGGATTTTCAAGCAGTCAAACTTCTCTGTGCACAGGAGAGTAAGGGAGCTCTGAGGAGCCTGCAGAATATGCTAAATATTTTGGTGAAGTTTATGTTTAACGCACAGTTGAGGTGTATATAAGAAAGAGGTGAGTCTTTTATTGCATCATGGCAACCATCTTCTTGACATAGTTTGGACCCTCCCCTCCATATTTGGGGTAGAGATAGGAGCTGCTGGGAATATTCCAGGCATGGGTTGTGGGACTGAGCTGCTAACATCAGAAGTTGTTGTTGTTAGTTGCGAAGTCGTGTCCGACCCATCACGACCCCACGGACAACGTTCCTCCAGGCCTTCCTGTCCTCTACCATCTTCTGGAGTCCATTGAAGCTCACGCCTCCTGCTTCAGTGACTCCATCCAGCCACCTCATTCTCTGTCGTCCCCTTCTTCTCTTGCCCTCCATCTTTCCCAGCATTAGGCCCTTCTCCAGGGAGTCCTTCCTTCTCATTAGGTGGCCAAAGTACTTGTTTTGACTTCAGGATCTGGTCTTCTAAAGAGCAGTCAGGGTTGATCTCCTCTAGGACTGACCGGTTGGATCGCCTTGCAGTCCAGGGGACTCGCAGGAGTCTTCTCCAGCACCAGAGTTCAAAGGCCTCCGTTCTTTGGTGCTCAGCCTTTCTTAGGGTCCAACTTTCACAGCCCTACATTGCAACTGGGGAAACCATGGCCTTGACTATATGCACTATTGTTGCCAGGGTGATGTCTCTGCTTTTTAACATCAGAAGTGGTGGAAGTCAACTCTGGGTGGAGAACAGGACATATTTATTCCCTTAATTCTTTGGAGAGAGAGGAAGAGATGTTAGGTCAGTGGTGGCGAACCTATGGCACGGGTGCCAGAGGCGGCACTCGGAGTCCTCTCTGTGGGCACACGCACCGTCGTCCCAGCCCCGCCTCTTCCCATGGCCCCCACCTCACCAGCAGCTCCCCCGGAGGAGAGTTGCCCCCGGGTGCGGCCCACGTGAAGCAGCGCAGCCAAGGACATGGTAGCTGGGCAGCGGGGACAAGACTCCGCCTATGCACCCCATTGCACGCAGATGATGCTGCAGGGCATGGATGGAGGACGTGGCCACCATGGCGCTGCTGGGCTGCCTGGGTGATCTGTGGCGGGCCATGGAGGGGGTGGGTGGCCCAGTGGGTAGGGCGGAGCAGGGACGGGGGTGGGGGGCAGTTTTTGGGCACTCGGTCTCTAAAAGGTTCACCATCACTGGGTTTTATTTTATTTTTTTTTATTTTTATTATTTGATTTATATCCCGCCCTTCTCCCAATGGGACTCAGGGCGGCTCACAACATATTTAAAAACAGAAACATATTTACAATCCCCACCAAATAAAACCAAATTAAAACCAAATATTTTAAAGTTGTGCTGTTTAAAATTTTCTTAAAAATAAACCCGATTTAAAATCCTCCCTAGGCCAGGCCCGCTTGCTGGAAAAGCC